TGCACCCCTGCCTATCTCTCTCTCTCTCTCTCACACACACACACACACACACACACACACACGCACACACTTGCCGAGCTTGGGGCTTATCCTCAAGCTGGGGGTAACTTTGTTAGTGCTGAGTCGAATGGAAGACTCAAGAGTTTTCTTTCCGTCCTTTCCATGAGTCATGTGGCCCTAGTCCAAGGTCTTTGGCCCATGTCAGCCTGGGGAAATCTCTGAACTCACTCAGATTTTCAGAATCCAAGCTGCTTCCTGCTGGGCCACGGTCCAGCTCATTGCTCCTCCAGGAAGCCGAATCTCCCTGGGACTCCTTCAGCCCTCAATGTCCTCTGGCACAGTCGACATGGCAGCCACCTCCTGGCTGTATGGTCTCGATTAGTCATTCCACCTTGGCTCCATCTCCCTTCTAGTAACTTTCCACCCACACGATCACCTCCCACCCCCCGCCCCCACTCCCACACCTTCCTGGGTCTGGCCGACCTGGGAGCACATGCTCACTCACTCACTCGTTCCTTCACTATCACTCCAGCCTCTGGAACACACACCCACTCACGAAGCTCAGCAGTGCTGATGAAATGTTCTCCCCGAGGAACCCCTAGGCAGAAAGTGTTTTCATCTCCCAAGGGTTTCGGGGTGTCTGCCTGATGCAGCCTCTGCAGTCCCCAGTGGTCATCAGCGCCAAATGTGGCCAGAAAAAAACACATCAAGTAAGATAAGAACTGACAGGTGCCCTTGGATTTAGTCATTAAGGGGTCACTGGTAACCGTAGTGAGCGTGATTTCCAGAGGAGGGAATGGAAGGGAAGTGGAGAAGGGGTGGGTGCTGAAAGGAGGGGGACGGGATGATGGAACTGGAGAGATCTGATGAGAATTTGGCATCTGCAGAGGCCTCTGAAGGAGACTTTGACAGGCAGAGATAGACAAGCATGGGGGCAGACTGGTGAGGTCACTCTGGGTGAAGGGAATGGCATAAGCAGGAAATCAGGAGGCATGCGGAGCTTCTGTGGCCTTGGAGTAAGTCCCTTCCTCCTTCTGCAAGGTCGGTGGACATTGCAGCAGTGTCCTCCGAGGAATTTTCCAGCTTTGGGTATTTTTGGTTTACTGTGGCCTGGGGCTAGTGACAGGGCTTAGGCCTTGGGGGCTGGGGGTTTGGGAGCTGTTGGGACGGCCTTAGGAGGGCGTCAGCAGCCCTGGCTCAACTCCCTCCATAGAGAGGAAGCGGCAGGACCAGGCCCTGAGTGGGTTTAGCCCTGCCTTCAGAGCCTGTTTCCTGGGAAGAAGATGGCGTCTGCTCGGAGAGTCTGCTCTACACTCTACAGCAGTGGTTCTTAGAGTGTGGTGTCCACGGGAAAGGACAAACTCTCAGGTGCACCCCAGATCTACTGAATCTGAAACTCTGGGGGTGGGGCTCAGAATGTGCATTTCTGACAAATTCCCAAGTGATGCTGCTGGTCAGGGACCACCCTTTGGGAACCACTGGCTTAGAGGCGCTATGCTTTCCTTTTCCCTTGAGTAAGGGTGAGTGCTGGTACTAGCAGTACCGGCCTGCTCTGAGTTTCCACAAAGTGGTGGTCAGGACTTACTCGAGGCTGCTACACCCTGGGCTGAGGCTCTGCCTGGGAGGGGATGCCTCTCCTGAAGACAAAGAAATGAGGTTCCAGGACTGGCACTAGGGCAAACCTCCTCAGGGTCATGGTAGGTCCTTGGCAACCTGCTTAGTGGTTGTCTCTTTGCAGGTGTGTAACCTTGGGCAGGTAACCAACATCTCACAGCCTCAGTGTCCCCACTGTGAAGTGGATTGACATCGACCTCAGTTGCTTTGAGGATCCGTGAGGCACCACACGTTGCGTACCTGGCTCCTAGCAGGACTGCATAGTGCACGAGTGGTAGGAATTAAGGGCACTTTCCTCCCCCTTCCCACAGCCAGCTGCCTGCCCTGTCTTCCGCCATCTCACATGCTACAGGGCCCAAGGGTATTTCCTGGACTGTCAGATCATATTGGCCTCAGGGCCCTTATTTAGTATTAAATGTCCCAGCTTCTCTTCCACCGAAGATCCCCATCTCCCAGCTAGAAAATGTCTCTTGGTTGCTGCCAGGAGAAAGTCCCGATTCTGCAGTCGGGTTCTGCTGCCCCGGGCCCTCTCCTTGCTGGCCTGAGCCATCTGTGCTAACCTGCCAGGCTGCCGAGCGGTCCCTCGCGTGATAAATTGAACAGGCAGTCTAGACAGTACGTGATCCTCTCTGCATTTTTCTCCCAGGGAGAGCAGGATGCTGTCACCACCGTTGTGTTGGGGGGTGTGTCCAGCACCAGGCGGCCTGGGGAGTCACAGGGCAGGAAGAGAGTTGCTCCACCCAGTGCCTGCATTCCCTGTCAGGTGACACTCCCATGCAGTGAAGCTGGTGACAGGGATGTCAAGTGGAGCAGATCCAGACAGAACCCGCGGCATTCATCTGGGACGGGAAAGGGAAAACAACCTCAGCAGGGCTTGTTTCTCTTCTCCAGGGGAGCTGCCTAGGCAGAGTCTCTGTTCTCATCAGGGACCACTCTGTAGTCCCGATTCATTTTGAACCAGAGCTTGAACTTGATTGCTCTACACTCTCCTTCTGAACAATGAAAACACCTCTTCCTCCACCCCTCACCCCTCTCGGCAGCCCCTCTTCCTTCCAGCACAGCTAAGCTCCTCCTGTTGTCTCTATACTTCCTCGGGTCCCACTCCCTCCTTGGTTCGCTGATACCCGGCCTCTGTGCCCATCCCTCCTGACACTGCTCTCACCTAGGTCACCAGGGAGCCCTGAATCGCTAGGAGCCAAGCATCCATCTCAGTCCTTACTGAGTTCTCTGATGCATCTGGCACAGCTGATGGACCATCCCTTCTAGAAAAGCTGCCCTCAATTTCCATCGCACCCCTTCCTGGAAGTCCTTCAACCACTCGGTTTCTTCTTTGTCTCCACCACGCGCTCCTCCTCCTTCTCTCACCCTTCAGGGATGCTCACCCCAGGGCCCTGTCCTCAGCCACTGCTCTTCTCTTCCAGGGCAGTTTCCTCAGTGAACTGCATCTGCCCCGTGGCTTCAACCTGCCCTCAACCGAGCCCTGGCCCAGAACTCTCCTCAGAGCTGCCGGCCCTTCTGCCCACCTTCCCAGTCCACAGTCCACTCAAACCCACAGGCATCTCAAACCCAGCAAGTCCAAAACTGCACTGATGAGGTGCCCCCAAAGCTCTCCTGTGCCTGTGCTCCTCCCTTGAGAAGTGTCCACCTCTTATAGAAAATTATAGGAGCAGATGAGAAATTAGAAATGGAGAAAGAAGAAAACAAAGTTTCCACAGTCCCAGCACACAGAAGCAACTACCTTGACTATTTGGGTGTATGCGTCCCAGCCTTCCTTCTGTGCTTTTAATATTCCATTTTCCCCACTTAACATTCTAGCATAAGAATGCTCCCATGTTATTACTAATTCTGCATAACTTATTATTTTAAAGCTATTTGGAACAGATAGCACATTCCAACTGTACAAAAGGGGATTTGGTAAAAAGTAAATCTCCCTCCCACCCCTGACCCCCAAGTCATCCAGTTCCTTCCCCAAGGTAGCTGCCATTCCTGGTCATTTGCGTATCTGTCTAAGGATGTCTGTGCCCACACAAGAGCACCTGCAATGCCACCCGCATCTTTTTTACTCATAAAGTAGCACACCATGCACCCTGTTCTACACCTTCTCTTTTTTCATTTATTTTTAAAATTTTTTAATAAATTTATTTATTTATTTATTTACTTGGCTGAGTTGGGTCTTCGTTGCTGCACGCGGGCTTTCTCTAGTTGTGGCGAGCAGGGGCTACTCTTCGTTGCGGTGTGTGGGCTTCTCATTATGGTGGTTTCTCTTGTTGCGGAGCACGGGCTCTAGGCGTGCGGGTTTCAGTAGTTGTGGCACGTGGGCTCAGTAGTTGTGGCTTGTGGGCTCTAGAGTGCCGGCTCAGTAGTTGTGGCTCACGGGCTCTAGAGTGCAGGCTAAGTAGTTGTGGCGCGTGGGCTTAACTGCTCCGCAGCATGTGGGATTTTCCTGGACCAGAGCTCAAACCCGTGTCCCCTGCGTTGGCAGGCGGATTCTCAACCACTGTGCCACCAGGGAAGCCCTCTTTTTTCATTAACAATCTATCTTGAAAATCATCCCCAAACTACTCCTAGTGAGTTTCCTCACTCTTGTTTCCTGACTTTGAGTGCACCACTGCACAGCCATACCATAGGTTATCAAACTAGTCCTCCACTGAGGGACATTTAAGTTGTTGCCAGTCCTTGTTATTCTAAGTCAGACTGTAACAAGGAAGTGTGGGGCAGGGAAGGGGAGGCCCTGGGGAGAAGGAAATGGGCACGAGGAAGCTTTGAAGGAGAAATTGAAGAGGCTTGGAGTAAGTGAAAAGCAGTCATAAGCCTGGTAATAGGAAAGAGGGTGACAGGAGGAAATGCAGATGGCTGGTCCACAGTGAGTGTCGTTCGGAGCTCACTGGCACCGAGTGGAAGTAGAACACTAGAAAGATGAGGGCCTCTGATTCAGGCCCGAAGCACAGGAGGGAGGTTAAGGCCAGCGTCATGGGCCAAGGATTGAGCTCAGGGTGGAGGACGGACCCTGTGCTAGGGAGGTGCTGGGCCCTGAGCCAGCTCCCAAAACCCTCACAACAACCTGAGAGGTAGTCACTTCCTCCCCACTTTACAGACAAAGAAGCAGGTGATAAAAAGTGGTGGACTCAAGTCCTGCTTCTCTACCACAGCCCAAGGGGTGCCTGGGTGGATGGTTAATGTTTAGAGGGGAACAGAGAGGACAGCTGCCTCCAGAGAGGCCCCATATGCGATTTCATGCACTGAATTCAGAGCTTCTTCCCTGACCCCGTTGGGGCTCTGAGTGGCAAGCCCTTGGATGAAGTGGCTGTCTGGGGCCTCCGAGGCCCTGCGTGGTACCCTGCCACCTCTCTGCCTCTAACCCCAGGGTCTGTGCTCTTTGCTGGCAGGTTTTGCCCATCACTGTTTTCTTCATCTGTGCCATGTCCGTTCTCTACTATGTGAGCCTCATGCAGTGGGTGATCCTGAAGGTGAGTTCTCAAGGTCCCAGCCTGGGCCCTCCCAGAATCACAGGCTGACAGGAACCACACTCTCCCAGAATGCCTTGCTCCCAAGCCCACACCCTCCCCAAATCCCCTGCTCTGAGGGCCTGGACCTTCCAGCATCCCCTGCTCCCCAGCCTCCTCTCAGAGTCTACTACCAACAAAACAACTTTTCACAGAGTCTCTTGTCATGCTACTAAGGAGAAATGGCACCAAAATCCAGTGGGGTCTTTGGGGGAGGGAAGTTTACAGAACTGGGGCTGCATTGAAGAGAAGTGTTAGGGGAAAAAATAATTTACACCAAAAAGATCTTGAGAGCAGTGGGTCACGTGGGCCAGACTTAGCTGATATAAATGTCAAATCCTGTGCTTATGTTCATAAAATCTGCTGCACAAAACCAGGATGCAGGAGACAGACAGCATTGGACAAGAGATTCTGAGGTTTTTAGCTGATTGAGCTCAGAATAAACCAGTATCATCAGGCAGCTGCCAGTAGTGCAGCCTGTGGTTATGTTAAGAGTGCACAGTGCATGGCCTAAGGGAGACAATTATCCCCAAATCTGGAGAATGTGTTCAACCAAGGGGCTATGACAAACTGAACTATCAGTGGGTTCAGTTTGAAAGGGCCTGAGACCATACATTCCATAGAATGGCTGAAGGAAGTAGGGATGAAGGGCCAAAAAAGAGAAGGCCAGGGTGAAGAAGGTTACGGGTAGGATTCTAAACACTTATAGAAGGTTAGGGAAAAGGCAGCCTGAGAGGTACCTGCAGTGGAGAGAAATTCCAGGGAAGCAGATTTCATGTTGATTAAAAGAAAGAAGTTTTTAATACAGTGTTTCCCAAAGCCTTTCCCAAAACTCTAGTTTCACAGCAAGTTAATAAATGCTACTAGGTAAAGGGATCCCATGGTCAAATTGTTTATTTTATTTTATTTTTGGCCGCGCCATATGGCCCAACCAGGTATCAAACCTGCACCCCCTACAGTGGAAGCGCAGAGTCTTAACCACTGGACCGCTAGGGAAGTCCCTTGGTCAAATAATTTTATGAAGCTAAGCTAGACACCAGGCTAAACAAATTTAAACAAGTTTTGTGCAGGACTTCTCAGAGCCTTTAATAAACTGGTAAGTATTGGTCATCTCCAAGGTGTGTGTGTACAGCAATTCTCAAATATATTTGACCAGGGAATCCTTTTTTCATGGATGATAAGCCCCCATCAATGGAGGTGTGGAAGGAGAAGATGAATGGACCTTTGGGGAAATGTAGGTAAGGGAGTCCTACGTGGGTTGGGAGTTGGAAGGAAGACTTTTAAGGTACTTCCACCCCTGACTCTCTCTGTCCCTGGGGCTTGCTGATACCAATCCACAAAGAGCACCCTGCTTCCTTCTAGATCTCCTGGCTGATGCAGGCCACCATGGGCCCCATGGCCACGAAGACCCTGAGTGTGGCTTGAACCATCTTTGTGAGCCAGGTCAGTATTGCAGCCTCCTTCCCTCAAGGAGGGCGGGTGCCCTGGGTCCCTAGAGCTCTGATTCAGTCAGCAGAAGAGCCAATCAAACCTTCTCCCAGGGTCACCAAGGGCTGCTGCCCTAGGGATGCTCCATTTGGGGATACACTCCTTGCCTGGGTCGTGCCAAGGAGGATAGTATCTCCCTGGTACCTCTTCCCACCCTAGGTCTAGGCTGTCTTCATCAGCTTAGAGACTCACAAGTCCTACAGATGGAGTCCAATGTTCTCCTCTTAATACAGGCAGAAACTGAGGCTCGGGGCTGGGAATGCCTTGCCAAGATCCCACAACATAAGCCAGAACTTAGAATCCAAGTCTTCTTCTTCCTGGACAGGGTTCCTTCCACAACATCAGTTTGTCTTTTTCTCCCCCTCCCTCTTTCTGAAAATGTATTTTCCAATCTAAGTGTGACTCTGAAGGGACTATCAGTCCTGAGTCCCTTGCAGAAGGCCGGACCCTCCTAGGGGTAAGACTCTGGTGACTGTTCCAGAATCCCGGCCCATCTGCCCAACATGTAAGTCACCAAAAAAACATACTTGCCAAAGTATGCCATATTTCACTGGGCAGTTTAGGAAACTTTGGAGGATATTTGCATCTTTTTTGCTATAATGCAAATGTGTAGATTTCAAAGGTTTTTTTTTTTTTTTAAGCCAATTAAGACAGATGTGCTCTGAGATAAATAGTCCAAAATCCCTTAGTTGTTCAAAATGAGGCAAAAGAGAAAAAGATATTTCAGTATCAGCATTTATTTTATATAAAATGCTGCAAATGTAATCAATGGTTTTTGCTGAGAAAAGACAAATCTTAGGTGAATAGGACACGATAACCGAAAGAGCTCCAAAGGTGAATTAACTTTCACGGGGACGGGGAACCTTCAAGGATTAGTGGTATCATTTCAAGCTCAGTGTTGGCAGGCCTGGGCCCTATTCTCTTCTCTGGCCACAGTCTGTCCCCAGGGGATTGCCCCAGCCCCATGGCTTAAATACTTCCTCTCCCCTAAACTCCAGTCTGATATATATATAACTGCCCCCTTGACCCTCCACTTGGATATCCTTAGATAATTTACTAGGCAAGTCCAAACAAGCAGAACCCTTAATTCCCTCCCTCAACACACATGCACGTCTCCAAGATTTTCCCTTCTCAGTAAATGGCAACGTCTTCAATGAGGTTGTTAGACAAAAATCGAGGAGTCATCCTTCCTTCCTTTGCTTCCCTTGCTCCCAGCTGCATCCAGTCCATCAGCAAGTCCTGACAGCTCTGCCCCACATCACATCCCAGACCTGCCCTGCTGCCCTTTTGCTTTTTTTTTGCTATGAGCCACACTTGTCTCTCACCTGGACACGACAACCACCTCCTCTCTGTTCTCCCTGCCACCATTGCTGCCCCTACCCATCCTTCACACACAGGCTGGAGTAGCCCTTTATTTATTTTTTTTTTTTTAAATTTATTTATTTATTGGCCGTGTGGCATGTGGGATCTTTTTTTTAAAATTTATTTATTTTTGGCTACTTTGGGTCTTCATTGCTGTGCGCGGCTTTCTCTAGTTGCAGCAAGCAGGGTCTACTCTTTGGTGCGGTGCGTGAGCTTCTCATTGTGGTAGCTTCTCTTGCTGCAGAGCATGGGCTGTAGGCATGTGGGCTTCAGTAGTTGTGGCTCATGGGCTCTAGAGCACAGGCTCCGTAGTTGTGGCACATGGGCTTAGTTGCTCTGTGGCATGTGGGATTTTCCTGGACCAGGGCTCGAACCCGTGTCCCCTGCATTGGCAGGCGGTTTCTTAACCACTGCACCACCAGAGAAGCCCAGCACGTGAGATCTTAATTCCCCAGCTAGGGTTCGAACCTGCGCCCCTGCATTGGAAGCGCAGAGTCTTAACCACTGGACAGACAGGGAAGTCCCCTGGAGTGGCCCTTTAAAAACCCAAGTCAGGGACTTCCCTGGTGGCGCAGTGGTTAGGAATCCGCCTGCCAATGCAGGAGACACGGGTTCGAGCCCTGGTCCGGGGAGATACCACATACCGCGGAGCAACTAAGCCCGTGCACCACAACTACTGAGCCTGTGCTCTAGAGCCCGCGAGCCACAGCTACTGAGCCCATGTGCCACAACTATCGAAGCCTGCGCGCCTGGAGCCTGTGCTCCACAACGAGAGAAGCCACCGCGATGAGAAGCCCACGCACAGCAACCAAGAGTAGCCCCTGCTTGCGGCAACTAGAAAAAGCCCACGTGCAGCAACGAAGACCCAGTGCAGCCCAAAATAAACAAATTTAATTAATTAATTAAAATTAAAAAAAAAAGAAGGTTTGTTTAAAAAAAAAAAACACCTAAGAGCCACCATCACCATGTAGCCCAGGGACCATGGCGCTGGGAGCTCTGGTGGGCATCACCCTCGCAGGTGAGGTCACCTCCAGTGTATAGGCACATTAAAAAAAAAAAAAAAAAAAAAAAAAACCCAAGTCAGATCATGCCTCTGCCTGCTGAGGTCCACTGCTTACCCTGCCTTGTCCATCTGCCCTCCACCTCCCCCATCTCTATCCCTATTCCATAGCACAGTCTGGAACATAGTATATACTATAATTATTTATTGAATGAATAAACGAATGGCTACAGGCTTCCCCACGTGCCCTGAACTAAACATGCCATCGAATGCCCCAGTTCCTTTCTCTCTGGCAACTCCCATGGCTTCACTAAACGTCAGGCTTGGAGTTACATCTGCTTCTGGTCTTTTGCACGAACAGAGGTAATTCTTTGAACCTCTCTGACCTTCTGCTCTCCTGGAATGTGGAGACGACCACTTCTTTCCTAGAAGGTTGTAAGTGATGTGTGTGAGGGGCTTAGCTGGGTGCCTGGACGTGGGAGGCACTTGACACAGGGGAGCGTTATCAGGCCCACAGGAAGGGCTGGGGGTCCTTCCACAGAGCTGGGCTGATGCTGAGGTTCAGAGAGGCTCAGCCAAGTACAGACTCTGGTCCTCACCCCACCCTGCTGTCTCTTCCCCTGGGGTCCCCAGCCCTCGCTGTGACCTGCTCACTCCCAGGTGGAGGGGGTACGCCCCAAGTGCCCGTGCTAGCCTGACCAGCGCTGCTTGTTTGACATCTTTCCCGTTTGCAGACTGAGGCTCCTCTACTGATCCGGCCCTACTTGGCAGACATGACACTCTCTGAAATCCACGTTGTCATGACCAGAGGCTACGCCACCATTGCCGGCAGCCTGCTGGACGCCTGCATCTCCTTTGGGGTATGTAGAGCCCTCCTTCTGCTTGCTGAAAACCAAGAACCTGAAACCCACCTTTGTGGGAGCCCCACACAGCTCCTGGCCAGAGCGATCTGGGGTCTTCTCTCATGGGCTACGTCCTAAACCAGGGCTGCTGTGATGGTGGGAGGAGAAGCTTCACGTGAGTAAGGCAGGCCAGGTGGGCTGGACCATTTGGGCTTCTCAAGTGGCTAGTAGGAACAAAGGTTTCCAGTATTCCGCTTACTGAGGCAAAGCGCTCAGTGTTTTAATATCCACATTTCAAGGATGAGGAAATTGAGACTCAGAGAGTAAGTGAGATGCCCAAAGCCAGGATTTGAGCCCAGACCTGTCTGACTCCAAAACTCAGACACACAGTCCCCCACCTAGGCCACCCCTGGAGCTTTGTCCTACTCTTCCTGTACCCCGTCCTCGCACCTCCTCTCCTTTACACCCTCTCTGGGCACAAGTCCTTCCTCTACTCCTCAATGATTACTTGTGTAGCTTTCTGAGCACAGTACGTTTCTAAATCAAATTCCAGTGGTATGAATCAGGCCCTTAAACCAATCACAGCACTAGTGCATGGCAAGCAGAGATGAATCTTCAATATGTCCCCTACAAAGTGCCTGGTAATAATGCATTACATTTGTGTAAAACACTGTACTTGTTTGTGTTTTCACATGTAAGTCTTTCAAGATCTTATTTTTCCCCCTTAGATATCGAAGAAATTCTTGCTTCTTACAGAAGTGAATAAAGTAGAAAAAACAAAACACTTCACTCCCACTTCCCATGGATAACTGCTCTTACTAGATGAGAACAGCAGTGCTCAAAGTGTCCTCAGTGGGCCAGCAGCGACACCTTCACCTGGGAACTTGTTAGGAATACAAATTCTTGGGCCCCTCTGTAGACCTGCTGAATCAGGAATGCTGGGGATGGGGCCCAGTGTCCTGTATTGTAACAAGCCTTCCAGGTGATTCTGATACTCGCTCAATTTGGGAACCACTGACTTAAAATATGTCATTCCAGATATTTCTGTGTAAAAAGTCCTTTAAGTACATATAACTGAATATACATATACTTGCTTTTTTTTTTTTTTTTTACTAAAGGTGAGGTAATTCTATTCACAGTTTTCTGCAACTTGCCTTTTTCTTATAAAATTCTGAGCATGACATGAAATCCGAAAGTGTAAAGGAAAAAGTTGACAGAGCTAACTAATAAAAATGAAAAACCTCTGAAAGGTAAAAAATCACAATTTTTTAAAAGTTTAATGACTGATCAAGAAAGAAAAGTTCATAAATGATAAACAGATATTCAAGCTCACTGATAAATTAAAACAATAATAACTTATGTTTCTTCTCAAGGATATGCAAAATTTTACATGCCTCTAAACGGCAAGGCTGAGGGGCATTCATATACTCTTTTTTTTTTTTTTTTGGCTGCGTTGGGTCTTTGTTACTGTGCCGCAGGCTTTTCTCTGGTTGCGGCGAGCAGGGGCTGCTCTTCATTGCAGTGCGCGGGCTTCTCATTACAGTGGCTTCTCTTGTTGCAGAGCACGGGCTCTAGGCACGCGGGCTTCAGTAGTTGTGGCACTCGGGATCAGTAGTTGTGGCTTGTGGGCTCTAGAGCGCAGGCTCAGTAGCTGTGGCACACGGGCTTAGTTCTGCGGCATGTGGGATCTTCCCGGACCAGGCCTCGAACCCGTGTCCCCTGCATTGGCAGGCAGATTCTTAACCACTGTGCCACCAGGGAAGCCCCCCATACTCTTTATGCAAGTGCAATTTGCTCTAACCTTTTTGGAAAACACCTATCAGTCAATTTAAAAATACTCCTCTTTGATCTAGTTAGGAATATTATGATACAGAAATATTTTCACAAGTGGTCAAAGGATGCAAAATTCCAACATTATTTGTAATAGCTAACAACCCAAGAAACATAAATGTAGAGCAGTAAGGGGATGAGCTGGGTAAGTTCATCTGTGCAGTGCACGGTCACAGCCCCTCGGGTGAGGTGGGCCTCCGTGCGCTGGTTTGGAGAAGGGCAGCCTGCCTCTCCCAGGGCCCAGGCTCTCCTGATGCTGTGTGTGAATGGGTCGGGGGATGAAAGAATGACCAGTATTGGTCTCAAATTCCACCTGTCTTTCTCATCTCTGTGTTTGAGGATGGCCAAGGGGATGAGCTAACCTGCCCCTCAGTCCCTCCTTCCCTCAGGACACCTGGGCCACACCAGGAGGCTCAGCTCCGCATACCCACAGAGCTGTCTGGGCAGGATGCCTTGTGACTTTTCAGGAAGGCCCCTTGCACTCTGAGGCTTTGTCTTCTCCGCCCAGCACCCTCCACCTAGAATTTTAGAGGTCATCTGGTTTGCACCTTTTCTCACCAAGGCCTAGGAAGGGCCCATCAGAGCTGATGCATGCCACACCCCTCCCCCATACCTCACCACCAATTGATTTTGGAAGGAATTTGATATTTCAAAAATGAAAACTTGAAACTTTGTTCCTGAAACTTTTTTCATAGTGGTGTATTGGGGGAGGGGTTGCCCTGCTATCTTTGGGATTTAGAGCCTTTAAATGTCTTAACCTTGCTTTGGGTCCCACAAGCCAGTTAAAAGAATGGTATTCTTTCTATCGCATAAGCGTCGTTGCCATTACTTAAGACTAAAGTACGGAAGAACTCTCTCCCTTTTCCACAATCGCCTTACAGCTCAGCCTCCTTTCCTTCCCTGTCCCAGGCCAGAGTCCAGGCCCAGCCCCAGGCAGGCGGGCCTTCCCACTGAAGGGGCCTGGTACCCACTTCCCTTTAGCTCTACAGAATGTGCAGAGGCCACCAGGATCAGCCTCGTGGTCGCGGGTCTCCATCCACAGCCTCTGGTATGGAAGCCCCAGGCTACCACCATAGCTGGCCTGGTGAAAGGCACCTAGTCCACCTTCCTTCCCTGGGCGTCTGGATCAGCCTCCAGGCTGGTCACAGAGAAGCTCTCTTCTGCCCCCGCCTGGCTCTTGGCCGCCACTACAGCAGCCCCCGGGCTTCCTCCCACAGCCCTTCCCACCCTCTCCCCTCTCTCCTTTCATGCCCTCTTCCAGGCAGTTCCTCACTCTATCTTGGGCTCTGCCCTTAGACCCTGAATTCCAAAGAGAATCCCCCCTTTCTCTCTCCTCCTTTCTCTTTGATGCTCAGCTTCTGGCTGGCTCTTCCCTGCACCCCTCCTATTGCTAAAATGTGGATATTTCTAGACCTGTGCTGTCCAACACAGCAGCCACTAGCTATTAAGTGGCTATTAAGCCCTTGAAATGTGGTCGGTCTGAAATGAGATCTGCTGTGAAACTTAGTATGGAGAAAATCAATTAATATATTTTATTGATAAGTTTTACATTGATCACAAGGGTAGAAAATAATATGTTAGGTATATTGGGTTAAATTAAATACATTAATGAAATTAATTTCATCTGTTTCTTTTTACTTTTTTAATTGGCTCCTAGAAAACTTAAATCACAGTTGTGCTATATTTGTATCAGATGACACTGGTCTAGACCTTCTCCCTGGTCTGAGGTCCCAAGTGTTACTTGACTGAATCCTTTCACTGTGACCTCCACATACATGTCCCTTTTCAGTGTGTTTCCCAAACACTCTAAGGTAGGCACGAGCCCTCTCTGCTAAAACCCCAGAAACTGGTCTCCCTACCCACCCCTTTGGCTCGGGATCATTGTGAGTAGAGATCCAGATGTGTGCCTTGGGCTGTGAACACAGGATGGGTTGAGGGGATGGCCACTGATGTTTCTCAATCAATTGTGCGAGAGTGGGAGCCCCTGGGACAGGGTCTGGGAGGCCCAAGCAGGGCCAAGTAAGAGTCAACCACATGCTTAGTTTCTACACCTGTAAAATGGGTGGCATTACTGCCCACCTCACAGCAGTCTAAGAATTAAACGCCATAATAAACAGAAAACACCTGGCAAGGGACTTCCCTGGTGGTCCAGTTGTTACGACTTTGCCTTCCAATGCAGGGGGTGAGAGTTCGATCCCTGGTCTGGGAGCTAAGATCCCACATGCCTCACGGCCAAAAATCCAAAACATAAAACAGAAGCAATATTGTAACAAATTCAATAAAGACTTTAAAAGCGGTCCACATCCAAAAAAATCTTAAAAACAAAAAATCACCTGACATGGTGTTGAAAAAGTGGTTGTTCTTTCTCTGACATATTAGGGTCAGAAGTCCAGCCTTCTAAAACTGGCCCATTTTATGCTTTGGAGTGTCTGGATTTATTTCTTTTCTCAGTAAAGACCTTTTTGAAAGTTCAGATGGATGGCTCCTACCCTCTATCCCTCTTCACATAGGACACCTTTAGGTAGAGGAAGGAGGGCCTTGGGCAGGAGTGGGCCCTGTCATGCTGGGACAGAAGGCATTCCTGACCTGGTGTCTGGAGGCAGCGCTGGAGAATGTCATGGCCCTGAGGCATAACTGGCAGCAGAGAGGCCGTGTGTGGGCTGACCCAGTGCCCCCGGGAGCCCTGCCAGTGCAGGACTCAGCCCTTTCCAAGATGAGCAGGAAATGACTGCCTGGGGCATTTGAGGCAGTGGCCACGACTGGCCCATTCAAAGGACAGTGTCCATGAATGTGCAAGGTGTGCTCCCCACTGAGACTCGAGTTGACAAACCAGATGCAGCCTCCAAGCTGGAGGAAAGGGGAGGGTCCTGGCTGGTGGAAGGGAAAATCCCAAGATTCCAGATGTGGTATTGTGCCCGCTGGACCTGGGCGGCTGAGGAGGAGGCCAGCAAAGTCCCAAAGCTTGGCCTGGAAAGTCCAGAGAGGACACCTGCCTGAGGCTGGCTATTTCCATGAGGAGCAAGGCCTGCACACCCAGTGGCTGTGATGGGGGCGCGTGGGAGGTGGGTGCTGGACCTGGTACACATCTTAAGTGGTTTCTGCTTACCGCTGAAAGGAAACAAAGGGGCTTTAAAAGAAGAAGGAGGAGGATATTACAAGGCTTTCAGAGCCTCAGAGGGTCTCTGAGGCCTGGTTCCTCATCAGTAGTTCCTGGTACTTCCATGGGCTTCATTGGCCGTCTGCTTTATTCGCCTGAACATGTAGCTTAAACTTACCTCCCCTCCTTTAGTTCCTTTTTATTTAAAATTTTAAAACTGCAGTTGATTTATTACAAACTTTAAGAAGAAGTCTATTTTACTTTTCTGCTTATAAAGACAGTATATATCATGTGGACATTTAGAGATATACAGAAAAGCTGAAAGAAAAGAAAATCACTCTGGCCCCACTAGCCAGGGACAGACAACTGGTTGACATTTCAGTGTATTTCTTTCTGATCTTCTTTTTATGCATAGTTGTGGAGTTTGTTTTTTTCCCTATCATTGTGGGTATGCTCTATATGCAAGTATGCAGGCATTTCTCCACAGTATTGTGAAGCCTTGGTAACCATTGTTTTTGATGGCAACTTGACAATGCATAGCCATCCCCCCATTGTCAGATGTTTGGGTTGGTTCTAATTCTCCCATTTGGTAAATAACACAGTGGTGAAAAAGCATTCCATCTCTGTGAAGAGAACAGGGAAGCAGAGGGTTTGGGACCACAGTGAGGATGAAAATTCAGGAAGGGAGAATCCCGGGGGTCTGGCAGCTCCATCATCTTGCTGTGAGGGCTTCTATAGCGTGGCTCCAGGAGACCGACCCAGGGTCAAAGGGTGGGTGTTGTATGTTGTAGGGGCAGATTTCCTTAGAAACAGCCCTCGGACCGCAGGAGTAGAGGTGATGGGCTGCCTTGAGGTGGTGAGTTCCCTGCCACAGTAAGTGACAGGAAGGATCCTCTAGAGGGAAGGCTTTCCTTTACTATGAGGTCAAGTTAGGTCACATCTTGGATCCATTCCAACTCTCAGGTTCTGTGAGCTTTGTCTGAAACCATCACAAACCCCTCAGCCAATGATGAACCAGCCCTCAGATAAGTGGTCAAAGAGAGACAGCCTAGAAAGGGAGGAAGAACCTTGAACTTGGAGCCGAAAGACACAACGGGTCTAATTCCTTCCCTTCCTTTATTTTGGGCAAGTCATATTTAACCCTTTGGGGCCTCAGTTTCCTTGTCTGTCAAGTGAGATAACAGTACTTGCCCTGCCTAACTTCCTGAAGTCCTGGGGGAGGTGTGGGAATAGAAAGTTCTGTGCATACAGCCTGTAACCCTCTACACATAAAATGTATTACTATTATCAGTGACAGTGACAGCAGTAGCGATGATGGTGATATACCAGCAGGGTAGAGTACCATGTCCCCCTGCTGCCCTGGGCCACACTTCTTGACCTCCACATTTTCCTGACATCTCTCTATAACCCTCATTCTCACTCTTGCAGATCGATACTGCCTCCTTAATTGCTGCCTCTGTGAAGGCTGCCCCTTGTGCCTTAGCCCTCTACACGGAGGTGGAGGAGTCCAAGTTCAGGGGTGAGGAAGGAGTGAAACTGACCTACAGGTGAGCACAGCAGGAGGGTCTGCAGAGAGGGGAGTGGGGGGGAGGGGCAGAGACAGGAGCAGAGGTGGGGGCAGCAGCAGGTCCTATTTTCTCTGCCCATCTCTGTCTTTCACCAAGCGCAGCCCACTTCCTCTCTCTCTCACTGCCCTGGTCGCAGCTTCACTTGTGAAGATATAGACTCCAGTTCTCGCTTCTTATTTTCCAGTCTCTGACCAGCAGGAAACATGGACTAGTCAAGGCATGGGCAAGTGACCTGGTTCTTGGGGATGTGCCTGGTGTGTGTGTGTGTTTGTGTGTGTGTGTGTGTGTGTGTGTTGAGGAGGGTCGTTAAAAAGTTCCACACCACTTTCTCTACATGCCTTGAGGTCTGATCCCCAGTGTCAATCGCATTGACGTGTTGAGCACTGTCCTTGATTTCTCTCACCTCCTAACATCTCTTTATCATAGTCTTAGCAACCTTTGTGTAACATTTAATTCTTAAAAAATGTTGAAAGACACGACTTTTGACAAATGTGCTTGTGGATACAACGGGCATCCCCAACCGCACAACTTCCTGAAGGTCTAGAGCAGCACTGCCCGAGAGAAATATGAGTCACATCTATAATTAAAATTTTCTAGTAGTCATCTTTTAATAAGTAAAAAAGAAGCAGGTGATTTTAGTAAAATGTTTTATTTAACTAAATATATCCTAAGTATTGTCATTTTAACATGTAATCAATATAAAAATTATTAATAAGGTATTTCATATTCTTTCTTTTTTTTCGGACTCAATCTCTGAAATCTGGTGTGTATATTTGCAACACATTTCAATTCAGATCAGCCTCCTTTCAAGTGCTCAAAAGTCACACGTGGCTAGTGGTTTCTGTCTCGGACAGCATCTGTGCTAGGAGTCTGGGTCTTATCCTAGTGCTCGGGCCAGGCTCTTTCTCTCTCTGGCCTCAGAGGGAAAACAAGGACCACTGGCTCTGAAATGCTCTGTCCAAGGTTCCTCTTTGAGCCTGTAGGGTGGGGAGCCCTGCTGTTTGTGGAGATAGGCCAATAATGATGGCTCTTGATCCCATCAACAGAGATGCTCAAAACCTCTTAGAAGCAGCTAGCAGTGGGGCTGCCATGTCCGTGAGGGTCGTGACCAACATCGCAGCCAACCTGATTGCTTTCCTGGCTGTGCTGGCCTTCATCAATGCTGCCCTCTCCTGGCTGGGAGACGTGATGGACGTCCAGGGGCTCAGCTTCCAGGTACAGTTCCGGCCACCCCCGCAGCCTGTGGAGGTGGTGGTCCTGGTCGGTGGGTGATGGTGGGTGGACACCCACAGAGCCCAGGCCAACCCCAGTCCCAGCCACTCCTCTTGCCTCATGCCTAGGCTCATCTGCTCCTACATCCTGTGGTCAGTGGCCTTCTTGATGGGAGTGGCCTGGGAGGGCTGCCCGGTGGTGGCTGAGCTGCTGGGAATGAAGCTGTTTCTGAACGACGGGCGCCGAGGAGTGGGCCGGTTCCAGGAAGCAGTGGATCTCTGTGAGTGTCCCTGTCCCCTCCCTGGGGCAGGGCGTGATGCAGCGGCTCCCCTGTGGGCCTGGCTGAGACACACTGAGGGTCTGCTCAACCTCCCACATCCCGTTGCCCTGGCAACAAGACAGCTTCAGAGGCCATCTTTCTCAAGGCCTCTTAGGAGGCTGAGGTTGAGAAAGAGCCCCGTTGGAGGTATCTGAGCTCCAGCTGTAGACAGGCCACCATCCTGTGCGGCCCTGGGCCAGCCGCTGCACCTTGCCTCTTCTGTTGGAAAACAAGTGTAGAACCTGCCACACCTACCCCGAAGGAATGGATGGCAGCATCTCATGAGCTAAGAGAGTAAAACGGGGAGACCTCACCACCACATTCATCTTCAATATATTGGATTCAGTTCAGGGGTTTGTTTCTTCTGTTAAGACTTATTTGTTTATCTATCTATCTATCTATCTATTTATTTACTTGCAGCACGTGGGATCTTTTTCTTTAGTTGCAGCACGTGGGATCTTTTAGTTGCGGCATGCGAATTAGCATGCAAAGTCTTAGTTGAGGCATGTGGGATCTAGTTCCCGGACCAGGGATCAAACTGGGCCCCCTGCATTGGGAGTGCGGAGTCTTAGTCACTGGACCACCAGGGAAGTCCCTGTTAAGACATTAAAAAAAAGAAAAAAACTATAAAAGCTTTCTAAAATGAAACTCTCTAAAATAATAACAGCTGTATGTAACATGATTGAGAATGACAAAATTACCCATCATCTTATCATCCCCAAATTACAGCTATTATAATATATAATATAATTATAATTAATTATATTATAATAAATATAACAATATAACATATAATTCCATTATTTGGCTATTATACACAACGCTGAAATGAATAGCTTTTTGCACAGGACTTCTCCCTCCTCTCCGAGCATTTCCTCAGGAGCTTTCCCAGATGTGGGATGACTGAATCACATGGCACGGATCCTCGTGTGGTTGCTGCCAGTATCTTTTCTTTCCCAAGGGGTTGTAACAACTGAAACCACCCCAGCTGTGCCTGTGAGCATTGATTTTACCACACACTGAACAGGGCTGAGTAGCCTCTTAAAAAAAAAAAAGTTTTGATACGTTAAGGGGCAAATAATAGTTCATTGTTTTCATTTGTTACTGGGTTACTAGGAACTTTTAATAAAAAATTTTTTCTTGCCTTTTAAATTACTTTTTTAATTGTAAAGGAATGTACTCTTTAGTTTAAAAAAAAAAAAAGTTTGTATGGAGTAAAAAGCCCAGGTTTCCCCTCACTCCTCATTTTCAGCTCCAGTATCACTCCCTTCTCTAGAGATAGTGGGTGGTATGTGCCTTCGGGATCTTTTTAAATGAACTTCATTCCTTCAGCAAGTATTTGTGGAGACCTCTGAAGTGCCAGGCCCTCTGCTGGGTACCAGGGATAAAAAGGGGAATTCGACAGACATGGTCCCTGGTGACATGGAACTTACACGTAGTGAAAGACACGAGCAAAACGCAAGAAAGCAAAGGAATAAAAAATTTTAAAACCACAATTTGTGGTAAGTTCTCTGATGGAAACAATAAGAGGAAACAGGGAGGGGGTCTTCCTTGACTGAGCTGGTCAGAAAAGGCCTCCCTGAGATGTGGTTATTAGTCCAAGATTTGCAGGGAGGAGGAGGGGCCAGGAGAAATTGGGAAGAGCATTCCAGGCAAAGAAAGAGGCACATGCAAAGGCCTTGAGGTTGAAAAGCACTTGTTTGGAGAACTGAGAGGAGAGCAGTGAGGTTAGAGCAGGTGGTAATTGTAAAAGAGAGTGACACAGGCCGAGGAGCAGTAGGAAGTTACTGAAGATTTGACTTTTGACATTTTAAGATTACTTGGGCCGATTGGGGGGGTGATTGTAAGCGAGTAAGCAGAATGCAGGTACCTTAATATTTTTTCATCAATTTGTATAAACTCTGTGTGTTATAAAGATATTAACCCTTTTCTGTTACATGTTCTACATATATTTTTCCTAGTCTTTTTTTCTCCCCTTCATTCTGTATTCAGAGATTTTTTTAAACACAAAATTTACACCAAATCTTTGCATTTCTGCTATAATATCTAAATTTAGAAAGTTATCTCCATTCCAAAAATCTGGCAAGGGTTAAATTCCTGAAACAATATGGTGAAGTAGTTAAAATCATGAGCTTTGGAGTCAGACAAAACTGAGTTCAAATTCTGACACAGCTGCCTTTTTGCTGTGTGAACGTCCTCAGTCACTCCTGTGAGCCTCAGTTTGCTCCTCTCCAAAATGAGAGTAATAATATTATTTTGTAACAATAATAATTATTCTGTATTTCCTATTATTTGATGTTTAAAATATTAATCTGCTTCCGTGATTTAGAATTAATTTTTTATATGGTGTGAGGTATGGGTCTAAGCCAATCTTTTTTTCCAAATTGTTCCGTTTTGGCTCTTAACACTTCTAAGGAATTACACAACCGTTCAGAGCAAAAGGGAAGGAGAATTACCTTGCTTAAATACCTCCCCTGTGCCTGGTACTTCCTGTACATTAGATGATCTTTACGACAGTCTTTCCAGGCAGCTGCTATTACTCCCACATTCCTGATGGAGAAACTAAAACTTAGGAGGCTATCGACTTGCTCAACCTGAAATAGGCCGTGACAAGCCTGGAACCCAAGCCGACTGGGCTCTGAATCCCTCCCTCTCTTCACTGGGCCACCATCCTGCTCTTCGGGCATGACCGCACCTCAAAGGACCTCAGCCTGAGCGCATTCTCCGTAAACAAAGGTGCGGGGCTGCAGCATGTCGGGAAGGGCCGTTCGCCCACTGTTCCTGGGTACAGAGCTTAGTAGGGCCAAAGTGAGAAGACTGGGCCAGGCTGAATCAGACCCAGAAAGGCTGGTAATTAAGGAGATTCAAGGGCAGATGAGGAGGGGGCTATGTTTGTGAGGTTGTGCAGCTTGAGGTGACTTAGAGGTAGGTGTGGAGGGCTGGGAAAGGGCAGCACCGAGTGCTTCAAAGGTCAAAGGCACATAGGCAGTGGGTGAAATTAAGGCCAGGGTATGGGGTGGTTTGAGCAAACTCCCATCCCATCTGAGGGAAGCCCCTCCCCGCTCATCTTCTGTCTTCTCAGGTCAGAGCAGAAATACGACGTTTGCCCTCTGTGGATTTGCCAACTTCAGCTCCATTGGGATCATGCTGGGAGGCCTGAGTGAGTCCTATAGGGGCCTCTCGGTATCCTGGAGAGTCGGGGATGGACGCTAGTCCTGGCTCTGAGATATTTCTTGGGGATCTGTAGGTCTCAGTTCTCCCATTAGTCTAAGGCAGAGCCTGAACAAGGCGGCCGTGGAGCTTCCTCCCAGCCCTGGCATTTCATGATTTCTCTGCTGCTGGGGTAGCCCAGGAGGTTAGCACCTTGGCCTTGTAGGCCAAGCCTGGCTCAGGGCTCTGGGGAGGGTCGGGAGGTGCGGTGGTGACCTGCCCTCTGAGGCTTTAGTTCCCGTACCCACAAGGGACAGGCAGGCCTGGAGGGGCCTAGGGGAGAAGGCTCTGCACAGCTCTCAGCTCTTTACAAAAAACATTTCCACCCCCTGCAGTTCCCTGCCTGGTGGTGTAACCATCCCGTTTTGCTGAGTCTTGCAAAAGTGAATGATGGCCCAAGTCACTCAGCTAATAAGTGGCTGAACCTGTGTTTAATCCCAGGTCTGCCTGACTCCAAACTCACGTTCTCTTCCTACAGTTGCCACTGATGGCATGTGGGGGGGCGTGGAGTGCTACCTAGGGGCCCGACTCAGGCCAAGGAGGACTCCCAAACTCAAAAGCGTCAGGAGGACAGCGTCTGTCCCTCTGGCCACCCAGAAGAGAAAGGGGTGTCAGCAGATGCAGCCGGAGGCACAGATACAGGCAGAGGGGCATGCTGAGTCCTGGCCCTGAGCACTCCTGTCCTCTTGCAGCCTCCATGGCCCCCCAGCAGAAGAGCAACTTCTCCCAGATCATGCTCTGGGTGCTCTGCACGGGGGCCTGTGTGTCTGTCTCTGGTGAATGCCTGCGTGGCAGGTGAGTGCAGGCCTGGTGGGCTCAGGACTCAGAGCCCTGATTCTCCAGCTGGCCCTGGTCCAGGGCCAGGCACTGGGGCTCTGGCCTCTCTGGAAGTCCTTGGGTGAGGTTGGAGGGTAGTGAGGGGCTGGGCCCTGCCCACCAGCTGCTTTCCCTGCGCAGGGATCCTGTACATGCCCGGGGGGCTGAGGTCGACTGTGTGTCCCTCCTGAACACGACCCTCAGCAGCAGCAGTTTTGAGGTGTACCAGTGCTGCCGCCAGGCCTTCCAGAGGTGAGAACCTGGGCCGTGGGGCGGAGGGACCCTGACAGTGATGGGGTGCAGGAGGCCCGATTTCCCGGCGGAGGCCTTTGGCACCAGGGCAAGGGATAGAAATGTCATGGCTGTGGCTGATGTGACCAAGGGAGGAGGAAGTGGGGCTTGAGGACCAAACTTAGAGATGAAGTTTGGACCAGAGACATGGAGCAACTTCCCCAAAGTTGCACAGCCTTTAGTGGCTAGCAGAGCCAGGCCTAGAGCTCAGACTGCAGCCTTTGCTTCTTTTCAGCACCGACCCGGAGTTCACCCTAGAGGCCCTGGACAACTGCTGTTGATTTTATAATCACACGATCTGTGCATAGCAGGGACAGAACATCTCTATGCCTTCTGGAGGCTATTCTTCCCCAGGAAGCAGCTGTCCCCATCTCTCTCTCTCCAGGCCCACCCCCTTGGGGAAGCCGCAGGGTTTAGACCCACCTCAGTCATAAATTGGGAAGGGTGACAGGGTGAGTGGGCAGAGTGAGTACATAAGTAAATGAGGGTTGCCCCCCCCACTCGTCACCACATTTCTGCTCTCCCATTTCCTACCTCCCCAAGTGTGAATTCTCAGGGTCACCTCTGCCTCTTCTCTCCTCTCTATATCCAAACAGCTCCCTGCTCTTCCCTATACCCCCTGCCCTGGGTCTCCCCCATTCACCCTTCCCTTCTGCTCCAGGGCCCTCAGCCCTGGCATTTCAGCTGATTCCTTCCCCCTCCTCTCTAGGCGCTGGAATCTTGCTGTGGTTTAGCCCCTGCCAGGCAGCTTCTCCTGGAGACCCCTTCCTCTACGTCCAGAGACTCCCCATGGCCTTCCTCCATAGCACTTCGCACACTGGTGTCCTGTGGAACACTGTCCCACAAGGTATGCAGAAGTTTCCATGATCCACTCCGTTTGGGAAACACTAAGCTAAAGAAAGTTAGGGGTTTATTGTTTGTTTGTTTTTTGTTTACTGTGGACTCATCAGTTTGATGTGGGTATAATAGGAGACATTTTTCAAATTTGGCTATAAGAATCTTGTTGATAGAAGTATCTCTTAGTTGAGGATTCCATGGAAAACAATTGGGGAAATATTGGTTAATGTTCAGACTGCTTTACTCTACATAACTGTAACACTTGCAAATGTAACAGAGCACTGTGTGTCAGTGCACTGTTCTCAGTACTTCATACTTTGTAACTCAGTCCCTACAACAACCCTGTGAGTCAGATACTATTATTATCCCTAGTTGAGGAACAGAGTCCCAGAGAGGTTAAGTAACTTGCCTAAAGTGGCACAACTGGGAAGAGGAAGAGGCAGAATCCCCGCCATCCAGTTCCACAAGCTGTGGTGTTTCATCTCTCTGCTAGGCTGCTAACGTTCAAGGAGCTCGGTTGTGTGACTTGCTCTGACCCCCTCTGCTTGCCTTTTCTCCCCAGCCCAATCCCTCTGCTCCAGTAGGTCAGGCATCTGATGTGTTTTCCCTGCCTGTAAGCCTTTGTTTCTGGAGTTCCTGTCACCCAGCACATCCTGCCCTATGCTCCTCCCACCTCTATCCTCATTTCCCCAGCAGCTATGGCTGCGGGGAACTGCAGTGCACCTGTCCCTGAGGCCACAGGGCCCCTGTTTCCTCACCCACCTCTGTTGGATAATGCTTCCCAGCTGGGGCCTGAGGCAGAGGGAATATGGAGCCTGGTCAGCAGTTACCCTGCTCGGTCAAGGATTTGGGCTCTACTGGGCACTGGTCTTGCTCCTTGTGACCCCCACAGGCTAGCCCTGGGTCCCTTCCTCAGGGCCTGAGTCCTTGCCCTTAGCTCTGCACAGCAGAGTCTTGGCCTGACTCCCATACCCCATCGCTAGGCTCTTGCCTTGCAGCTTCTGAGTCAGGATTGGCCCAGATACCTCCACTCACCCCACCCACAGCCGTGACAGGCATTGCTAATCAATCACAGGACTCCTTGCACTGAATCCAGAAGGGGCTTCAGAATCCATATCAGCTCAGTGCTGGATGAGCCCACCTCCAAGTAATTCTAGGTGCCTTTTCTAGGTGGCACACTATTTGCCACTCCTGTGCTAAGAAACAGACCCTAAGAACCCAAACTGCCATTGATTTTGTCTTGCTGGCCTGTGAATGTCTAAGGTTTTTGTCAAAGACTAGAAATCAAAGGGGGTTGGAGCAAAGAGGGATCCTTGCAAAGCATGAATCCTGTGTAAGTGGTTTGTCCACTCCGGGTTTATGTATTGTTTATTTATTCAATCAAGGGATATATATTGAGTACCTACTTTATTACTTGGCTTGGGCCACCATAACAAAGTACCACAGACTGGGCAGCTTAAACAACAGAAATTTATTTTGTCACAGTTTTGGAGGCTGGAAGTCCAAGATTAGGGTGCCAGCATGGTGGGTTTCTGGTGAGGTCCCTCTTCCTGGCTTACAGAAGGCCACCCTCTCACTGTGTCCTTTTATATGGCAAAGAGAGAAAGCAGCTCTCTTGGTGTTTCTTTTTTTTTTTGTGGTATGCGGGCCTCTCACTGTTGTGGCCTCTCCCGTTGCGGAGCACAGGCTCCAGATGCGCAGGCTCAGCGGCCATGGCTCACGGGCCCAGCCACTTCGCGGCATGTGGGATCCTCCCGGAACGGGGCACAAACCCGTGTCCCCTGCATTGGCAGGCGGACTCTCAACCCCTGTGCCACCAGGGAAGCCCTGGTGTTTCTTTTTATAAAGGCAATAATCCCACCACCCTCCTGACTTCTTCTAATCCTACTTACATCCCAAAGGCCCCATCTCCAAATACTGTCACATTGGGGATTAGGGCTTTAACATATGAATTTAGGGGGCACACAATTCAGCCTGTAACACCTACTATGCGCTGGACTCTGAGCTAGGCAAGGGGACAAGCAGTGAACCAGACTCTGTAATGAGCTAAAGAACTGGAAACTTCCTTCAAGAAGAGGGTCAAGGCTTCCCTGGTGGCGCAGTGGTTGAGAGTCCGCCTGCCGATGCAGGGGACACTGGTTCGTGCCCTGGTCTGGGAGGATCCCACATGCCTCGGAGCGGCTGGGCCCGTGAGCCATGGCCGCTGAGCCTGCGCATCCGGAGCCTGTGCTCCGCAACGGGAGAGGCCACAACAGTACTGAAAAGGCCCAAGTACTGAAAAAAAAAAAAAAAAAAAAAGAGGGTCAACTTGGGAGGGAAGCCCCAACAGAGACTGGATGGAGGTGGCTCCTGGCAAGGATTGCTTGAGAGGAGGGAAGGGGAAAATGACTCCAGCAGGGCTTGTGGGGCACCCATATGTGGCCTGACCAATGGATTTTTTGAGGCTCTTAGTAGATTAGAAAGTGAAAATAATGCCAGAATAGGATTATACAAATTGCCATTTAAACTGTTGTATATATTAACACAGAATACACTGTAGTATCAGGTTATCCACTAGATAATGAAAAGATGTTTTTTTCAAGGAAAGCCCAGTTCAATCATTTAAAAAGCCATTTTTATTCATATTTGAATATTTTTATTTCATATTTGAAAGCGCCAAATCCTAGTCACTAGACCACCAGGGATATATCAAATATTTGAATGTGACTGCGTGTTTTTACATAAATTAGTTTTCTTGAAATACGTAGATTCTGTGTTCTTCTATATTTAGTGTAATAACCATCAACATAAAAGATATATTCATCATTTAAAAAAAATTATTTTATTGAAGTATAGTTGATTTACAATGTTGTGTTAGTTTCTGGTGTACAGCATAGTGATTCAGCTCTACATATCTATATAATAGTTTGCATCTGCTAATCCCAAACTCCCAATCCATCCCTCCCCTACTCCTCCTCTCCCTTGTTTTCTATGTCTGTGAGTCTGTTTCTGTTTCATAAATAAGTTCATTTGTGTCATATTTTAGATTCCACATATAGGTGATATCATGGTATTTGTGACGTACTTTTTGTTTTACTCTTTCTGACTTCACTCACTATGATAATCTCTAGGTCCATCCATGTTGCTGCGAATGGCATTATTTCTTTATATTTTATGGCTGAATAGTATTCCATTGTATATATATATGCCACCTCTTCTTTATCCATTCATCTGTTGATGTATATTTAGGTTGTTTCCATGTGTGGCTATTGTAAATAGTGCTGCAGTGAACATAGGGGTACATGTATCTTTTCGAATTATAGTTTTGTCTGGGTTTATGCCCAGGAGTAGAATTGCAGGATCATATGGTAGCTCTATTTTTAGTTTTTTTGAGGAACCTCCATACTGTTCTCTATAGTGGTTCCACCAATTTACATCCCCACCAGCAGTGTAAGAAGGTTCCCTTTTCTCCACACCCTCTCCAGAATTTGCTGTTTGTAGACTTTTTTTTAAAACAAATTTATTTATTTTGTTTTATTTTTATTTTTGGCTGTGTTTGGTCTTCGCTGCTGCATGCGGGCTTTCTCTAGTTGCGGCGAGTGGGGGCTACTCTTCATTGCGGTGCATGGGCTTCTCATTGCGGTGGCTTCTCTTGTTGTGGAGCACAGGCTCTAGGTGTACGGGCTTCAGTAGTTGTGGCACGCGGACTCAGTAGTTGTGGCTCGCAGGCTCTAGAGCACAGTCTCAGTAGTTGTGGCGCATGGGCTTAATTGCTCCGTGGCATGTGGGATCTTCCCAGACCAGGGCTTGAACCCGTGTCCCCTGCATTGGCAGGTAGATTCTTAACCACTGCGCCACCAGGGAAGACGGTTTGTAGACTTTTTAATGATGGCCATTCTGACTGGTGTGTGGTGGTACTTCATTGTAGTTTTGATTTGCATTTCTCTAATAATTAGTGATGTTGAGCATCTTTTCATGTGCCTATCGGCCATCTGTATTTATCATTTTAAATTAAGCCCTGGCGGGATGGCCTGGTCATGGACGCCTTTCAGTCACATGACTATATGAATGACCTCATTTGGAGAGATTAGTAAAAGTCTACATTGGAAGCCCTTTCTGGATTGGAGACTCCTGTCCCCCTCCTGCTGCCCTCTGCTGCCCCCTGCATGTGCCTGACCATGAGCAAAAGGAATTGAAAGGGCTTCACTCATGGAAAGGGCTGGATGCCCAGAGCATGGTGAGAGCAGGACTGGCTCTTTCCCAGGCAGGGCTGGCTGTGGCTGACCACGGAGCTGACCACAGACAGGCTCAGAGCAACCAGAGATGCTGCCCCTGGGGGCACCGCAGAGGGGCTGTCCTGCCGGGGCGACGGTGGGAGGTAAGAACAATATGCCCTGTAGGGAAGGTCACTGTCATACGCTCAGTGGGATGAGGCCCAGACAGGAGTCCATTGGTGGGTCCGGGCTTCACTCTGATGTCTGGGAGTGAGGGGTACATGCAGAGCGGGTGTGGAGAAGGGAGCAGCCCAGAACACCAGAGCCTGTGTTAGGCCACACCCAGTGGGGTCCACTCTGTGCTGAAGACCGTTTCCCCCCCAATTCGTCCTGGACCAATACTTGTATAAAGGACAATACAAGTGAATTACTGGGAAAATAATAATAAAGGCATCTTTATTGTTACATTCAACACACATAAGATTACTCTGTCAAATTGCTATGCAGTTTCTGCACGTCACTTTCAATGTTGATATTTACATTATTATAGATCTAGAAGCAGATGTGGACCACACCAGTCCATGCTGTGAATAGCTCTGTCCTATAGCATTTTCTGTTAATGAAAACTCTTCAGAGAATTGTTTCCTCAGATGATTTGTCCTGCATTTCATATTCTCTAAGGGGAATTGGGAAAAGGCCATGGAACTCTGGTTGGAATCTATGAAACCTGCCTTTCATATGAGAGAATGCCTGCAAAATTGCAAGGACAATAGCAGAATTCCAAATAATTTATGCAAATGCTCCCCACTCAAGGAGTGAAGCATAACTCCCCATCTCGTAAGTGTGTGCTATGCTTAGTAACTTTCTTCCAAAGAGTACAGTATGGAAATGGGGGAACAAGAAAGGAACTTTGCTGTAGAGAAGTCTGGTAAACACTTCCTTAGCCAGGTGGTCATGGTTAACCTCATCAGTGGTAAGTCCAGTTGATAACACATACCCTTGATATGTTGTGTTGAGAAGGGGACTTCACCTCTGTGGTCCTCCTCCCTGAAGCCCATAACCCCAGTCTAACCATGAGAAAAACATCAGGCAGACAAATTGAGACACAGTCTACAAAATATTGATCCTCAATAATCCTCAAAACCGGCAGGGTCATTAGAAGCAAGGAAGGTTTGAGAAACTGTCACAACCCCAAGAAGCCTAAGGAGACATGATGACTAAATGTGTATTGTAGGGCTTCCCTGATGGCGCAGTGGTTAAGAATCTGCCTGCAGATACAAGGAACACGGGTTCGAGCCCTGGTCCAGGAAGATCCCACATGCCGCGAAGCAACTAAGCCCATGCGCCACAACTACTGAGGCTGCACTCTAGAGCCCATGCTTCGCAACAAAAGAAGCCACTGCAATGAGAAGCCCGCGCACCCCAACGAAGAGTAGCCCCCGCTCGCCACAACTAGGGAAAGCCCGCAGGCAGCAACGAAGACCCAACGCAGCCAAAAATAAATAAAATAAATTTTAAAAAATGTGTATCGTAGTGGGTTGAATTTTGTCCCCCCCAAAGCTATGTCCATAGAGAATGGACTTGAGGACATGGGGAGGGGGAAGGGTAAACTGGGACGAAGTGAGAGAGTGGCATGTACTTAAAAATAATACCAAATGTAAAATAGATAGCTAGTGGGAAGCAGCCGCATAGCACAGGGAGATCAGCTCAGTGCTTTGTGACCACCTAGAGGGGTGGGATAGGGAGGGTGGGAGGGAGATGCAAGAGGGAGGAGATGTGGGGATATATGTATATGTATAGCTGATTCACTTTGTTATACAGCAGAAACTAACACACTATTGTAAAGCAATTATACTCCAATAAAGATGTTAAAAAAAAAAAAAAACTATGTCCAAGTGCGAGCCCCCAGTACCTGTGAATGTAACCTTAGTTGGCAATAGGATTTTACAGATGTAATTAGGTTAAGGACCTCAGGATGAGATTATCCTGGATTTAGTGTGAGCCCTAAATTCAATGACTGGGTGTCTTTATAAGAGAAAGGAGAGGGAAATTTGAGCCACACAGGCACGGAGATGCACAAATAAGGCCATATAAAGATGGAGGCAGAGATCAGCACTATCAGCTCCAAGATGTAGCCCACCCCATGGTGACAAGCCAAGGAGCACCTGGGGACACCAGAAGCTGGAAGAGGCAGGAAGGCTTCTTCCTTGGAGCCCTTAGAGGGAGTGTGGCCTACACGCTTAGGACTTCTGGCCTCCAGAACTCTGGGGAGAATACATTTCTGTTGTTTTAAGCTACCAAATTTGTGGTAATTTGTTCCAGAAGCCCT